CGTGACAAGAAAGTTCATCTGATCGAGTCACTCACATTTCTGAAGAGATGCCGTGACTCTAACGTAATACCGATCTCATTGACACTGATTTCTGCTGCAGTCACATCTTCCAATGCCAGACGAATTTTGTTCAGGGCGAGCTTGGCCCTGATCTCAGAGAGAATTAGACTGCTCCATACTGAACTAGATCATGTAGACAAGACACTCTTGAAATCACACTTAACATTGACGGGAAAAATGTCGACATCTGATTGGGAACATGTAGATAACATGACCGCTTAATCAGCCACTACAATGTCAGCGAAATGTAAAGATCTGATTTTCGAGTTCAACCTCCTTTCTAACAAGAAACCAGATCCACACGTTAAAAGGTTAGACGTTGACAAGGTTGTTATTAATCTGAGTAATAGCCCAATGTGCGATGGTCTAAAGTCGGTTTTGGCTAAAGGGTTGAACTTCTCAGTCACCCCCAAACACATTCCAGTGGATGACGTTATTGCCCAGGTCGATGTCGCTCTTAAGGGTTTGGGGCGCATCGCTGCAGACGTTACAAGATCTGAAATTGCTGCAACCCTCAAAAGCGCTAAGATACCAGTCAGCAACATCAGTGAGGATGAACGTTTTTGTGGTTTTTGATTATTTTTATTCACTTTATTTTTCTATCTACGTGACTTTGCCGAAAGAACCAAAGAATATTTACAAAAAAATGTATTTTGTGTGTGTGTAATTTGTTTACCTTTTCTATACTTTGCACTCCTATCGTGTTTACTGTATTGCTTGGAGTTATTGTAGCAGCCAAATAATATAAATGAACGTAGTAGCGGTACACCGTTGCGCTGTATGAAATAATCATCACATTTTTGGCAAAAGTTATTTATTTCCTCGCGATTCGAGACCCCAGACAGAAGGATATTTTGGGGTGGTGGTGGTGCGTCAAAATCAGTTGTCGTGATGCCAAAGCGGTGGGAAGACGGAACGTGACATGAGCAGCACTGAACACGAAGCTTCGCAGTCTGTTGCCGTACAGCGGCGCCCAGTCTGATGACGATCGGCTGCTCCGTGCTCCAGTGGCAAGATTGGACTCCTCGTGCCCCTAGAGACTCGGTCGGACGGTGCCTCGATACGACTCGTGGTGTCGCCACCGCACGTTCGGAATGGGGGACGCGGCTGCTGAATCTGAGTGCAACTTCTGATGGAGAGTCCTGCAGCTCACTCAAGGGGCAACGGCGACATCGTCGGGACTATGAAAAATAAGAATCGGTTTTACTCTTTATGGGAATGAAACAGGAGGTGTTAAGATGTTCAAACACCAGATAGATTATAGCTTTTGCAAGGAATCAGGTTACTGCATTAACCACGCGTACTGAACACGCAAACAAACACTCTCTGATAACATTTAATCATTGTCTTTGATACTGATTGGTCTACCCCAGAGACAGCCTTCTTCATGGCCTAGTCTCACCAGTGTCAGACCAGAGAACAACACCAAAAGGCGACCAGTACAAAGACAATGCAGTGTCAAGAGCATTTATAGCTCGGGGTGAGTAGCTATATCATTGGACCTTTTTGCCAGAATCAAAGTATAAAAAATAGGAATCGGTTTTACCCTTTCTGGCAATAAAACAGGAGCTGTTAAGATGTTCACACACCAAATAGATGATTCCTTTTTGCAAGGAATCAAGTTACTGCATTAACCACGCGTACTTGTGTTGAACACGCAAACAAACACGCTCTGATAGTAATCACATCGTCAGGACTGTGTTACGAGGACCCGGTGTGTTGCTATGCTGCACGGGTGTACTGCCAATACGTACAAATAACAATGACCGACTGCCTCCTTGCGCAGGGATGAACCCGGCCCAGCCCGAGTTCATGCGCGCACGCGGCAAGCGCAGGGCGAGGGGGAATAGAGCGGAGTGCGGGCGGTCGAGCGACTCCGACGAGGAGTGGACGGGGAGGAGGAAGAGGAAGGAGGTGGCGATGCACGGAGGACGAAGAGGCAAACGTAAAAGGGCGCTTGCAGACCGTGCAGAGACCCCCTGTAGACTCACACAGAGACCCCCTGTAGACTCACACAGAGACCCCTGTAGACTCACACAGAGGCCCCCTGTATACTCACGCAGAAACCCCCTGAAGACTCACAAAGAGACCCTGTGTAGAATCACACAGAGACCCCTGTAGACTCACACAGAGACCCCTGTAGACTCACACAGAGACCCCCTCTCGACTCACGCAGAGACCCCCTGTAGACTCACACAGAGACCCCCTGTAGACTCACGCAGAGACCCCCTGTAGACTCACGCAGAGACCCCCTGTAGACTCACGCAGAGACCCCTATAGACTCACACAGATACCCCCTGTAGACTAACACAGAGACCCCCTGTAGACTCACACAGAGACCCTCTGTAGACTCACGCAGAGACCCCCTGTAGACTCACGCAGAGACCCCCTGTAGACTCACACAGAGACCCCCTGTAGACTCCCACAGAGACCCCCTGTAGACTCACGCAGAGACCCCCTGTAGACTCACACAGAGACCCCCTGTAGACTCACACAGAGACCCCTGTAGACTCACACAGAAACCCCCTGTAGACTCACACAGAGACCCCCTGTAGACTCACGCAGAGACCCCTGTAGACTCACACAGAAACCCCCTGTAGACTCACGCAGAGACCCCCTGTAGACTCACACAGAGACCCCTGTAGACTCACGCAGAGACCCCTGTAGACTCACACAGAGACCCCTGTAGACTTACGCAGAGACCCCCTGTAGACTCATGCAGAGATCCCCTGTAGACTCACGCAGAGACCCCCTGTAGACTCACACAGAGACCCCCTGTAGACTCACACAGAGAACCCCTGTAGACTCACGCAGAGACCCCTGTAGACTCACACAGAGACCCCCTGTAGACTCACATAGACCCCTGTAGACTCACACAGAGACCCCCTGTAGACTCACACAGAGACCCCCTGTAGACTCACACAGAAACCCCCTGTAGACTCACACAGAGACCCCCTGTAGACTCACGCAGAGACCCCTGTAGACTCACACAGAAACCCCCTGTAGACTCACACAGAGACCCCCTGAAGACTCACACAAAGACCCCTGTAGACTCACACAGAGACCCCTGTAGACTCACAGAGACCCCCTGTAGACTCACGCAGAGACCCCTGTAGACTCACACAGAGACCCCCTGTAGACTCACGCAGAGACCCCTGTAGACTCGCTTGATGAAGCTGGTTGTAATCACCAGCGGAACCAAGTTAAATGCCCGCTCACGGCCAACACCAGTGACGACGATCCGAACCGGTCCTGAGCCTCCCCTAGGTTGACTCAGCGTCAAAATGAGTACCCGGTGCAGTGGTGTGTAGTAAACATCACAACTGGGGAGACAAAGACGGTCGGGCGTGTTGCTAGCTGCCCATCCCCCCGTGTGCCGTGCTGGCCTTCGTAGATGCTGCTTGCTGACAGCACTTGACCGCAACAGTCTGTGAAGGCTACACGGGGCATCTTTTTAATTGTGGACCGAGTTGGCACAGTCGCGGGCACAGGTGGTGCATCTGGCAGTCATCTCAGTAAACCTATGGCACCTGCAGGGTCCGTCTCGTGACCTGCACCTAGCCTGGCACAACAGTCAACCCATGGCATGGCACCTGGTTCTGTCCTGTGACAACAGTCTGTTAAGGCGGCACAGGGGAGATCATTGACTTTTTGGTAAATATGTGAGTGAGTAAATGTTTGCATGCGTAAATACGCGTGTGGGTGTGTTCACACGTGTGTGTGTGTGTTAATGCATTTCCGTGTGTTCACACGTGTGTGCGTGTGTTAACGCGTGTGCATATGGGGAGCGGTAGTGTAGCGGTTAGCGCGCTGCGCTATGAACCCGGCGACCCGGGTTCGATTCCCGCTCACGGTCAACACCAGTGACGATTATTTGAACCGGTCCTGTGCCTCCCCTATGTCGGCTCAGCCTCAACTGAGTACCTGGTGCGGTGTGTAAACATCACCACTGGGGAGACAAAGACGGTCGGGCGTGGTGCTGGCCACCCACCCCCTCGTGTACCGTTCTGGCCTTCATAGGTGCTCACTAACAGCACTTGCCCCTACAGTCTGTTAAGGCTATACGGGGGAGCTTTGTCCTTGCATATGTTCATGCGTGTCCGTGTGTTCACACGTGTGTTCACGTGTGTGCGTGTGTTCACGTGTGTGCGTGTGTTCACGTGTGTGCGTGTGTTCACGTGTGTGCGTGTGTTCACGCAGGAGGAGGCAAGGGGGCTGCTTCACGCTGGGCCACCGTGGGAGAGTCTCACGCTGAGGGCAGCTTCCAGCAAGCGCAAGGTCTCTGTGCACAGCGCACGGCACTCCTCTCGTTACAGCTGCTGCTGCTGTTGTCTTTAGTTTGTTGTCCTTCCCCCGCACCTCCCATTAGCGAGGTTGGCTACGTACGGTGACAAAGACATTCAACGTACATACATACTACTAGACACTGCTATACCAGGGACGTGCGGTCAGGGGAGACGGGCGAGGCAGAGCCTCACCTGTCATATACTCCAATGAAAATAGCTGTTACGAAAAGTACAAAAAAATGTTCCACTGGTCTGTGTTATAAAAGTAATTTCTATATAATTATACCAGAGACGTGCGTCATTATTGTGGTGGTGGTGGTATTGGAACGCGCGCACACCAGCTCCGGTTAACTCCCATTACTTACCTGTGCGGGGCGGTTGTGATATCCCTAGCCGGGGCCCCTCCCGAGGGGAGGGGGCTGTGGGGTGTGTGTGATCCCACAGAACCCCGCCCCTCAGTGGGGAATCGTATAAAAGGCGAGACTCTGAGAGGAGAGAGTTAGTTCGAACAAGCCAAGGACGAAGAACCAGCTGAAGTCCAGCTAGCTAGACCCTGGGACTCCTCTGACCCGCTGTCCTTCTAAAGGCCGGGCAGAGCAAGCCAGTGGTGCGACCCCAGAGCCGCGAAGGCTGATGTCCTTGTAAGGGCCGGATTCGTGTGGCTGGTGGTCGGGACCTGTGCCTTGGCTGGGCCAGGTCAGGTAGTCTCCTTGAGAGGAGGGTCGTAGTATTGGTGGGGAGTCGGTGAGTTAGCTTGGGGAGTTAGCTCCCTTGAGAGAACGGGTGAAGAGGCCGTTACCTCTTCAAGTGTGAAGCTGTAACGGGCTCAGAGTTAATAAATATGGGTTGCCTCTACTTCAACTGTCTCTGTCGTCACGGTGTCCACTACATTATTATAATTAGTTTATTAATTAGTTGAGTTGTGAAGAGGCATGGCCTGCCATACCCACCGAGGTTCAGCATGACGGCATGGTTCTGCTTGATGTATGGAATCAGATTTACAGATTCAGAATATCAGAATTAAAATATGTATTGTACTGGAGGAATCCGATGAGGTGTCAGGGTCGAGATGGAACCCGCGACCTCCTGCGTACCAGGCGAGGGAGTTAACATCTCCTAGCCACCGCTGGTCACCGCACCAACTCCGCCCCCACACCCCCTCCGCCCCCTCACCCCACCGCCCCCTCCGCTCAGACTAAAGCGGAAGCCCTGGAGTACGTGTGGAGCATCTTGCAGGGCGTGGAGGAGGAGGAGCAGCAGGAGGAGGAGTTCAGGGGATTTGAGCTGAGGGAGGTGCACAAGGCCAGGATGGCGATGTTCAGGCTGGAGCGCAGAGCCACCGCCTGCAAGGAGGCCCTGAGGGTGGCGCTCCAGAGGATACGTGGAGGTGCGTAGCCTGCAGCGGTGATTTCTATTCCCACCGCAACTCCACACTCCCCTCTATTCTCACCGGAACTCCACACTCCCCTCTATTCTCACCAGAACTCCACGCTCCCCTCTATTCTCACCGGAACCCCACACTCCCCTCTATTCTCACCGGAATTCTACACTCCCCTCTATACCCACCAGAACTCCACACTCCCCTCTATTCTCACCAGAACTCCACACTCCCCTCTATTCCCACCGGAACTCCACACTCCCCTCTATTCCCACCGGAACTCCACACTCCCCTCTATTCTCACCGGAACTCCACGCTCCCCTCTATTCTCACCGGAACTCCGCAATCTTCTGTTAGTGCTGATGGAAGTCGCCACTGCTGTTGATGCTACTGCTACATGTGCTCCTGTCAGGGCTGCTGCTGGTACTGATGCAGCCTATGAACTAAACGATGTTTATTTTTCTTATTGGTTCTTTCGGTAAAGTCACGTAGAAGGGAAGTAATAAAATAATAAAAATAAAACATAACAAAACAATTCTCACGACGTTTCGGCCACAACGCAAGCAGCCGTCCTCAGGTGAAAACCAGGTCTGTCGAGGCGACAGCGTCTGAATGATACAGCACACGTGCTTGGAGCATATATATAAGCTGGGTTGGAAGGGGGGAAAAGAGCGCCTTGACAAAAGAATATGCATATCAAGAGGCATTTAGCATATTTATGGGAAATGCAGGTATGTGATTAGTACTACTCATGCCCGTGCATTATGCAGGATTAGCAGCATCAAAGGGAGGGGATATGGGAAATGCAGGTATGTGATTAGTACTACTTATGCCCCTGCATTATGCAGGACTAGCAGCATCAAAGGGAGGGGATATGGGAAATGCAGGTATGTGATTAATACTACTTATGCCCGTGCATTATGCAGGATTAGCAACCAGGGTGTGCCCCACTGAGCTGTGTAGCTGTTTTTCAGAAGCGACTGGCTATCACAAATAAGAGCTCAACGAAGTGACTTGTCATCATCGTCATTACGTGGACATTTATAGCAGCCAAATATTCTCAACGCATGACGTTGGTTCTATATGTCGAGGGAAAAAAACGAAGGACCCGGAGAAAAATCCACGCAACCACGGGGAGGTATTCGCCATGAAAGTTTGCACAGACAAGGAATTTACTATGGCCGGAAGGTGCATACATTCAACATGTAGGAATCTTAAAACTGAAATGAGTGGTATACAGTCAAACTATACTAAAATTACAAAGTCTAACTAATACTAAGGGGCTAAAGTATGTAAAATTGTGAATAAGTGTACAATATAAAATGTAAACTAGCCATAATATACAATCTAAAAATACAAAAATACAAATAGGGTAACATGTTGTAAACTATACAGTCGGGATGGAACCCACGACCTCCTGTAGACCATGCGAGGGAGTTAACATCTCGCCACGGAGGAGAGAGAGACACGCAGACTCCAAATATACAGCAGGCTTCATCAGGGTCGGGATGGAACCCACGACCTCCCGTATACCACGAGAGGTAGTCAACATCTCGCCGTGTTTGCCTGCAGGCTCCTCCGTGCCGCCGGCCTCCGCCCAGGCTGTGGCGGTGTCGCGCAGCGCTCGCTCTCGCTACGGCCTGCGCCCGCGCGAGAGGAAAGTCTACACAGAGGTGGAGGAGCCCCAGGACGACGACTTCTTCTGTGAGACCCCCTGCTCCCTCTCACTCTCTCTCTCACTTTCTCACTCTCTCTCTCACACTGTCACTTTCTCACACTCTCTCTCTCACTGTCACTTTCTCACACTCTCTCTCTCACTGTCACTTTCTCACACTCTCTCTCACACCGTCACTTTCTCACTCTCTCTCTCACTGTCACTTTCTCACACTCTCTCTCACACTGTCACTTTCTCACACTCTCTCTCACACTGTCACTTTCTCACTCTCTCTCTCTCACACTGTCACTTTCTCACACTCTCTCTCACACCGTCACTTTCTCACACTCTCTCTCACACTGTCACTTTCTCACACTCTCTCTCACACTGTCACTTTCTCACACTCTCTCTCACACTGTCACTTTCTCACACTCTCTCTCACACTGTCACTTTCTCACACTCTCTCTCACACTGTCACTTTCTCACACTCTCTCTCACACTGTCACTTTCTCACACTCTCTTAGGGCCGTCCATTAATGGCGTCACGCGATTTTGGACCCCCCTCCCCCCCATCACACGACATCACAAAAAGTCAGACCCCCCCCTCAAATGTGACGTCACAAAGCTCATTTAATATGCTTAAAATCGCTTCAAACTATTGTCATTGTAGTGCATATTTAATGTGGCACTGCAGTCTGATGTTGTAGGAGAAAACATTTATTAAAAAGTATTTAATTAAGTAGAACGTGTTGTCTGTGGTTCCTCACACATCGTCACAAATGTCTGACCCCCCCACCCCCCTAGGTGCATGAAGTCATTTATGGACGGCCCCTTACTCTAACTTTCTCACACTCTCTCCTATCTCTCTCTATTGCTCCCGCGCTCTCACTCGATATATTCCACCTGCTCCCTCTCACTCTCTCTCCCTTTCCCTCCCTCTCACACGCTCCCTTTCTCGCACTCTCACTTACCTCCCTGTCTTTTGCTCCCTCACTCAGGGATGCAGGGAGGGAGCAGGGAGGGTGACAGGGTTTACATCTCCTATGAGCGAGCTAAAGAAGTTCACAATGCAGAGAGGGAGGAAAGGAGGCATCTGTCTGGAGCGCTCCTCACCCTCTCACTCTCTCACAGTGCCACTGCTGCTGCTGCTGTTGCTACTGCGGTTCGCCCTCCTCCTGCTGCTGCTGCTGTGGCTCTCAGTCTGCGAGCTGTGCAGGGATTTCTACCTGGGGGAGTGCTCCGTGCACGGCCCGCCAGAGTTCATTGCAGACGCGGCCGTGGCCCCGGGAGTGGCCAACAGGGCCCGGCTCAGCCTGCCCCAGGGCCTCACCGTCGGCGCCTCCTCCATCGCCGGCGCCGGCCTCGGGGTGTGGAGCAACAGGAAGAAGCTGCCCAAGGGGGTGATTTTTGGGCCCTACCAGGGAGAGGTGTCTGAGGAGAACCCCGTGAGCGAGTACTGCTGGCTGGTGAGCTGCTGCTGCTACTGCTGCAGCCTCCTCCTATTCCTACATCATCATCGTGTGTGTGGAGAGGAGGCTCGTGAAGGAGATGCAGAGAAACCCATAGCCTCACACAGTCACCCACAGACTTACACAGAGATCTAGAGACTGGCACAGAGAGACCCAGAGACTCACAGAGACCCATAGACTCACACAGAGACCCATAGACTCGCACAGAAACCCATAGACTCACACAGAGACCCATAGACTCGCACAGAGACCCATAGACTCGCACAGAGACCTATAGACTCGCACAGAGACCCATAGATTCACACAGAGACCCATAGACTCGCACAGAGACCCATAGCCTCACACAGTCACCCACAGACTCACACAGAGACCCAGAGACTGGCACAGAGAGACCCAGAGACTTTGCACAGAGACCCAGAGACTCGCATAGAGAGACCCACAGACTTGCACAGAGACCTAGAGACTTGAACAGAGACCCAGAGACTCACAGTGGGACACACAGACTCACACAGAGACCCAGAGACTCACACAGAGAGACCCAGATACTCACACAGATGCTCAGAGAATCGCACAGAGAGATCCACAGTCTCACACAGAGACCCAGAGACTCGCACAGAGACCAAGAGAATCGCACAGAGACCCACAGTCTCACACAGAGACCCAGAGTCGCACAGATACCCTAGAGACTCGCACAGAGACCCAGAGACTCGTACAGAGACCTAGAGACTCACCCAAAGACCCCCAGAATCACAGAGAGACCCAAAAATTAACGTAATTATTTGAACTTGTAACACACAGCAAAGACGGTGGTCACCGCATGGCGCGGCGCTTACAGATGCACTTCTGCGGCCGTCTGGAAGGTTCTTCCTTCCAATGTTAGGAAGCCACTGGGAGCTATGCACTTTAAAATCTTGTAGATTGAAAATGCATTTCTTTAGAACTGCTTTTAGTGTTTAGTTTGTTGTCCTTCCCCCGCACCTCCGATCAGCATGGTTGGCTACGTGCGGTACGAAAGAAGTTCAACTTACAGTCCAACTGACATTAATTATCCGTGGATCCGCTCGTGTGCGTGTGTGTTTCAGATTTACAAAAACAAAAAGGATCGTGAATATGTTGATGCTCAGGATGAATCTAAATCAAACTGGATGAGGTGATTATTGTCTGAAGGACCACTACACAGAGACCAGAACCACTACACACAGAGACCAGAACCACCACACACAGAGACCAGAACCACCACACACAGAGACCAGAACCACTACACACAGAGACCAGAACCACTACACACAGAGACCAGAACCACTACACACAGAGACCAGAACCACTACACACAGAGACAAGAACCACTTCACACAGAGACCAGAACCACTACACACAGAGACCAGAACCACTACACACAGAAACCAGAACCACTACACACAGAGACCAGAACCACCACACACAGAGACAAGAACCAGCACACACAGACCAGAACCACTACACACAGAGACCAGAAACACCACACACAGAGACCAGAACCACTACACACAGAGACCAGAACCAGCACACACAGAGACCAGAACCACTACACACAGAGACAAGAACCAGCACACACAGAGACCAGAACCACTACACACAGAGACCAGAACCACCACACACAGAGACCAGAACCACCACACACAGAAACCAGAACCACCACACACAGAGACAAGAACCACCACACACAGAGACCAGAACCACTACACATAGAGACCAGAACCACCACACACAGAGACAAGAACCACTACACACAGAGACCAGACCCACTACACACAGAGACCAACCCTGGGCCTCCCCTTGGTCGACTCGGCATCAAATGAGCACCCGGTACGGAGCGTGGTTCCAGCCACACCACCCCCACGTAGCGCCCAGTGCCGGCCCTTAATAGGCGCTCGCTAACGGCGCCCACCCCGCCCCCGCGTCTGCCCGCGCAGGTTCGTCAACTGCGCGAGGAATGAGCAGGAGCAGAACCTGGTGGCCTTCCAGCACCGGGGGCAGATTTACTACCGCACATTCCGTGCCGTGGGGCCCGGCTCTGAGCTGCTGGTCTGGTACGGCGAGGAGTTCGCCCAGGAGCTGGGCATCGCCTGCGAGGCCGGGCCCTCGCGACGCCGCAGCAGCAGCAGCAGCGAGATGGCTCCTAGGGCCACCGCCAGAGACCTGCAGCCCGTGCAGCCTCCACCAAGCGAGGAACACCGTGAGCACTGCTCACCAGAGACTCACCACTGCTCACCAGACTATAGCCACCACTCACCAGAGATGATAGCCACCACTCACGAGAGACGATAGCCACCACTCACCAGAGATGATAGCCACCACTCACCAGAGATGATAGCCACCACGCACCAGAAATGATAGCCACCACTCACCAGAGATGGCAGCCACCACTTACGAGAGACGATAGCCACTACTCACCAGAGACGATAGCCACCACTCAGTAGAGATGATAGCTACCATTCACCAGAGATGATAGCGACATCTCACCAGAGATGTGGATGTAGCTACCACTCACCAGAGATGATAGCCACCACTCACTAGAGATGATAGCCACCACTCACCAGAGATGATAGCCACATCTCACCAGAGTTGGTAGCCACCACTCACCAGAGATGACAGCCACCACTCACCAGAGATGATAGGCACCAGCCACACTGATAAGGTGGAAGTGAGTAACTGGTGTGGTGTGTAGTAGTAAACATCGCCACTGGGGAGACAAAGGCGGCTATGTGTGGTGCTGGCCACCCTCCCACTCGTGTGCCGTGTTGGCTTTCATTGGTGCCCATAACAGCACTTGTCCCAAAAGTATATACAGGCTATATGGGGGTTCTTTGTCTTTGTGTGTATATATAATGGAGCCCACTGCACTACGAACCCGGCCACCTGAGTTCGATTCCCACTCACGGCCAACGTCAGTGGTGAATATTTAGGCCTCCCCTAGGCTGACTCAGCCTCAAATGAGTACCTAGCTTAAACGTGGAAACATCGCCACTGGAGAGACAAAGGCGGCCGGGCCTGGTGTTGGCCACCTACTCCCTCGTGTGCCATGCCGGCCTTCATAGGTACTCGCAAACAGCACTTGCCCAACAGTCTGATATGGCTGTGGGAAACCTTTACCTTTGTGTATACACACACGTGTGCAAGAGTGTTCATGTCTAGATGTTGGTGTGTGCGCGTGTGTCTTGTTCCTCTGGGATGACGCAGGTGGAGTGGGTGTGGAGGTCACAAGGCTGCCGTGTCCTGCCTGCAACCGTCAGTTCATCTGCCGCTCGAGTCTACAGTATCACGTGCAGAGCAGACACCCCACTAAGCCCAGTAACAAAAGTCATCAGTGTGACCAATGTCCATACAGCACAGACTACAAGAGTACCTTGAAGAAGCACCAGAGAACACACACGGGAGAGAAGCCGTTCAAGTGCACCGTGTGTGAGAAGGCATTTGCACATTTACAACATCTTCACAGCCACCAGAGAACACACACGGGAGAGAAGCCGTTCAAGTGCACCGTGTGTGAGAAGGCATTTGCACATTTACAACATCTTCACAGCCACCAGAGAACACACACGGGAGAGAAGCCGTTCAAGTGCACTGTGTGTGAGAAGGCGTTTGCACAGCTATCAGATCTTCACAGGCACCAGAGAACACACACGGGAGAAAAGCCGTTCAAGTGCACCGTGTGTGAGAAGGTGTTTGCAGACCCATCCAGTCTTTGCCGGCACCAGAGAACACACACCGGCCAGAATGCATTTTCTCATTCCCGTGGAAACAGAAAAGTCAGCCATCCTGAGCAAAACGCGCACAGCGCCGAGCTGTGAATTAGTTTTAAACAACAGGCCACGTGACTAGCCGAGGCTGTGCCACTCTTGAAACTGATTTTGAATGTGAACACGGAAACCTACGGACCCTCCTACACCTGCCTCACACTCTGTGGGGGGTGGGAGATTAAACCGACCTGGCCACCCCTCGATTGCAAGTGCGGAGTTCTAGGTCCCAACCACTGCACGTGTCCCCCCCCACCCCCATCACCTGGGGGTCCCTGTGTGTGTGAGTGTGCAGAGTCCCCCGTGCAGAGCTGCACTGTTGTTACCCTAGAGGGGGACACCGCAGGGCGATCCACCTACAGATACCCCAGTCTGCACGTCTCCCGCCGGTCTCCATGCGCACCGCGTGCCGTCTCGTAGCCCTGCCCCGTGCGACGTACGTACAGTACGTACAGTACGTACCCATCCAGCGGTAGACTGAACCGCGGCCGATGACGAAGGTGGCATCCGCTCACAAATCTCCGTGCACTCAGTCCCGTAGCCCTGAGCCATCGCTTGCGCGATATTCACTTTGCCGCTGAGAGGAAAGCTACGGGGAGGAGGTGGGGGGGGGTGTTAGGAGAGGACATCTGTGGAACGGCTGGAGATCTGCGAAGAGCTTCATAGCTCATCGGATTCCTGCGGTCTGAAAAAATATTCCGAGAGGGCGTTGGGGGAGGGGGGTGTAGGTATGATTGGGGCATCTGCACTTGGATCACCCTGCGTGTTGTTGCTGCCTCCCCCGTTGAAAATGTTCCCAGCGTGAACTTAACCCTTTGCCGTCGCGACGACGCCGCGCGCCGTGCGTGAACGTCGTCGTCGGAATAACAAAACGCAGTAAAAACTAAAGCAACATTATCGGTACCGAGGCTCCCACAGGGCCACGCGGGGCAGGGAGTGTGGCACAGTTTTCGCGCCGGCTAGCGCAGAGTGGCGGCGGTCGTGTCGCTACGCTTCTCTGCGGTGAGCAACGACGTCTTTATAACAACAACAGCAGTGCTGCTGCTGCTGCTGCCACTGCTGCGGTGAACGGTGACAGCCACCCCGTGACCTGTGACCCCCACCCCGTGAACGGTGACACCCACCCCGTGAACGGTGACACCCACCCCGTGAACGGTGACACCCCATGGGTGGAAAAAACCCGATTTTTCCAGCTGCAGGCATCGGGTTTTTTCTTTAACACAATTAAACCCGATTTCGGGGAATTAAAACCTGGTTTAATGAATACGAAACTCTGATAGGCTTAGGCTGCTTCCTCGTCGGTGCTGCTATGGTACTCGGGGCCGTCGGGCACGGGGTAGTCGTAGAATGCGGCGGGCAGGTTGGTCTTAATGAACACGAGCTTCTCCACAATCGTGGGCGCCAGTGAGTTCCTTAGCTTGGAATGGATGAAGCCCATCGTTGAGAAGTGCGGTTCTGCAATTAGAACCAATGAAACCGGATTTCTCTCAATCTTAGATGATCGGGTTTAATATAAAAAGACAATTAAACCCGATTGTAAAAAACCCGACTGTGCCACCCTTGTGACACCCACCCTGTGAACGGTGACACCCACCCCGTGAACGGTGACACCCACCGACCCTGCAACTCTGCAGACGTCTCGGACGCGGGAAAGGGTTGAGAGATTTTCTGCGTCGTCCCGGTTGCTCGCGTGATGTCGCACGGTGGTGGCGCGCGTTGACTCTTGCACGTTTAAGAAAGTTGAGCGTTAGTTTGTGATTCTGTTTAAAATGATATATATACATACTTAAACTAACAAACATTATCTTGGGATTCTACCAAGTAAGGTCCAACTGGATACGTAGTAGCTCTTTTATCAGACGCGACCACCTGGCCATCACAAATGAAAGCTCAACGAAGTGGCTTATCATTGTGTGGACATTTATAGCGGCCAAATACTCTGATTGCGTGATCTCGATTCTAAATGTCGAGGGAAAACCGGAGGACCTGGAGAAAATCCACACGACCACGGGGAGAGAGAGAGACGCGCAAACTCAAAATATACAGCAGGCGTCAGGGTCGGAATCAAACACACGATCTCCTGTATACCAGGAGAGGTAGTTAACATCTCCACATGTGTTCAGAGTATTTGGCTGCTGTAAATGTCACGTGATAAGCCACTTCGGTGCGCTGCTGTCATTTGTGATAGCCAGGTCGCTACTACACAGCTCAGTGGGGGCCTTACCTGGAAAAGTAAAATGATTAATAAAAATCTACTGTATTCTTGGTTCTTTTGGTAAAGTCACGTAGAAGGGAAATAATAAAATAATAAAAATGTAAGAATCAAATTAACACGACGTTTCGATTGCAACACAAGCAATCATCAGTTTATGAAAACCCACAACAACAAAAACAATATTGCTGTGGTTTTCACACCTGATGATGATTGCTTGCGTTGCAATCGAAACGTCGTGAGAATTGTATAGTTTTATTTTTATCATTTTATTATTTTCCTTCTACGTGACTTTACCGAAAGAACCAAGAATATGAATCCCTGTAGTCACGAAATCTTCAAATCGAAAAAAAAATCTCTTCTTGGTTCTTTCGGTAAAGGCACGTAGAAGGGAAGTAATAAAATAATAAGAATAAAACATAATAAAATAATATGATATAATAAAATAATATAATAATATAACATATTATTATATAAGTCACTTATAAGGCAAGTAATAAAATAATAAAAATAAAACAATAATTTAATATAATAAAATATTTTATTATATTTTGTTTCATTATCTTTTATTTTTATTATTTTATTACTTCCCTTCTACGTGACTCTACCGAAAGAACCAACAATATGAATCCCTGCAGTCACGAAAGTTTCAAATCGAAAAACAAAAATCTCCTGTTGAGAATGACCTCACCGGACCGGTGGAGGCAGCGCTGCCGTCTTGGTCCCAATTGGCAGCGGCGGCGTCTCGTTGGTTGTGAAGGCGGCCCAGCTCACACAGCCCGTGCCGGTGCAACAGGCCGTAGTCTACCCGGGGTTCAAGCGGCCTAGGCTACATTGTACCCGGGTGTATCATGGCCGAGGCCAAATTATACCCCTCTAGGCCAAATCATACCCTCATGATAGTAATAGTGTTGAGCGATATCTTCTTGTTTAGTGCTGCCTAACGGCGTGTGCGACTTCACGATGATATTGGTCCCGGTCTAGCACGGCGTGTAGAGTTTGTGCTGTTGTTAATTGTAGCCATGTTTTGATGTTACTGAGCCATGTCGTTTTTGGCCGTCCTGGTCGTTTTTTCCCTTCGATTTTTCCTTCCAGGATTTGCTTTAATAGCTGGTATTTGTGATATACACATGAATTACTAAATTTTTCCAACATTTTATTTATAACTGTAAACACATAGACTTTGATTACTTCAACCAGAAAAACTGATAATAACCCTAAAAATGCTTCAATTGATCAAATTGAGATTCTTACTTCCATTTATACGCTTTTTAGATATCGATTGAAGTCCGTTGTCGGCTGTTCTCTGTATGGATAATTGCCTTTGAACTTTCACATGGGGCATGTTCTGCCCTGGAGGGGGGGTATGGTCTGGACCAGTCTAGTTTAAACCCCCGGGTATAGTTTAGCCTAGGACACTTTATCCCCCGGGTCTACTCTGGCCTGGGCCAAACTATATCCGGGTTTAATCGGGGCAGGGGTTATTTTTAAATCCTTTATATTAAGTTCACTTGCTTGCTTGCTTGCGCGCTCACGACCGTGCAAATCTTTCAGTCGTTTTTTAACCGACTTCCCGTGATCCAATCGAGCTGACATTTTGCACACAGACTCGTTGTGCGTGACAATTTATTTTCGTGAAAAAATTTTACCAAAATTTTACACTTTTTAGGAAAAAAAAAATTGTATTTAATTACCAATTGCTTAATGGTGGCAGGCAACCATCTGAGCCATAGGTGGCAGCCATCTCAAGCCAGAGGACGAGAGGACTCTAGCCGCCACGCATATAAAGGATTTATAGTGAAAAACTTTGTTTTTACGGGTTAATTTTTAGCCTGTTTCACCGGTATCTCCAGGAGGTCGGAGCGACTTGCTCTGCGGTAACACTTTTCCGTGACAGAGGTTTGGTTTTTGTTGTTGTTGTTGTTGGGTTAGAGATCTCGTAAATATCAACATTGTGTCGTTAACCCACCACCACCCACCACCATCGCCTGACACGGCCAATCAGTCAGGGTTTGTCACGTAAACGAAACGTGCCAATTGGTTACCAACTTCAGCACACACAGCGCTTGTGTGTCGGGGAGAGTGAACCCACAACAGCATTTACAATTCGAGTGCCGGTGACGTTTCGCCGGTGATTACAAACAACGGCGACCGGTTTCATCGGGCGATGTGCCAGGATTGTGATCCAACGCCATCTAACCCAGGAGCAGCAGCAGCGACGACAACAAAAACCTTCATCACAGACACCGCTGGTCGCAAGAGACTGCGCGTGGCGCTTTGTGTTGCCGTTGCCACGAATCGTCGAAGCGCGTTCACGATCTGTTGTTCTCCTGTAACGCGGTGGTCATTTCGATTTAAATCTTCTTTCGTGACTGCAGGGATTCATCTTCTTGGTTCTTTCGGTAAAGTCACGTAGAATGGAAATAATATAATAATAAAAATAAAACAATAAAGTAATTGTTTTATTTGTATTGTTTTATTATTTAATAATAAAATTATAAAAATAAACATTTACTTTATTATGTTATATTTTTATGGAAATAATAAAAATAATAAAAATAAAACAAGAAAGTAATTGTTTTATTTTTATTATTTTATTATTTAATAATAGAATAATAAAATAAACATTTACTTTATTATTTTTTATTTTTATGGAAATAATAAAATAATAAAATTTAAACAATAAAGTCATTGTTTTATAATTATTATTTTTATTTAATAATAAAATAATAAAAATAAACATTTTCTTTATCATGTTTATTTTATTTATTTTATTATTTCCATTCTACGTGACTTTACCGAAAGAACCAAGAAGATGTGGTGGTCATTGTTGCGTTCCTGAAGAACACCGCGTTGTGGAGAAATAATATAAACTATGGGGGGTGAAGCGTGGTCCGCGACAACACGCGAGATGATGGGTGAGACAGAGGCCGGACTACGACTGAGGCGCGTGGGTAGCGTCTAGAAGCAGCATCCAGCAGCATCCCAATGCCTCCTCGCGTGATGCCGCTACGCCGAGGCAGCCGCACGGAGAACCGCTTGTTCCTACTCGCGTTGCGACCTCGTTCCGTTCGCTCGCTCGCGTTGCATCCAATCCGCATCCGCGTTACAAACAGCGTGTTCCCCTACACATCATTCACGGCGTTATATCATCCAATCGGCGTTGTTCAAACTAACACGCGGCGTTGTAGGAGAACCAGACTGTGCCGCTGTCTTCTGCTGTTTAACGCAGAGGCCGCATCGACCGTTCCAATAGTCGCTGTAGCCACTGCGAGCCCCAAGCTGTCGGCTCCCGGCTCTTAAACTGCCCCCCCCCCCCCTGGCGTTATCTGTAATCGTTACACACAGCAGCACCTGGTCACAACTGCTCACTGCTAATCCTAACAACACCAATCCCAGTCGTCAACCCTGCACCTCAAGGATGGTAAAACTATGACCCAACAAAATTACACATCACACTGTCCTACAGACTTCAATTCACACGCCCCTACAGATGTGTTTTGGTCATGTGCCTACCTTTCCTATACTCTGCACTGCTACGGTGTTTATTGTGTTGTGTTTGTTGTTGTGGCGTTCTGACCACGTGCCCCTACTGGACAAAGAGCTTCACAGCTCATCGGATTCTTCCAGAATAAAAATTTAAACTCTTAAAACTGATGACGTCACTGCGTGGTGACGTCACGCGTCTCGCCCCCCCACTCCCCACTCCCCTCCTCCCTCCCCACCCCACTCCCCACCACCACCAACCGCCGCCATTGGCCACTGAGTGACGGTGACGTCACCACGGCGCCTGTGCCAGGCTGGGTGCACTTCGAGGCTGCCGCGTGAAGTGTCGACGGCTCGACACTGAGGTGGTGACGTCACGCGAGCGTTGTGTTTAACGATTTAACCACGTGACGATATTACGATATTAGCGTAAAGATATGAGCATTAGCTGAAGTGATGTGAATACGTTCGGATTACCTCAAGTAATGTTACATTTACCTGAGGGGATGTTACCTCCCGCGAGGTAAAGTTACGTCGCCTGAGGTAAAGTTACCTCACCTTCCATTGCATTCCGATTACCTTACCCTGAGGTAATAATCACGCGATAATTGTGTTTAATGATTTAACTACGTGAGAATATTACAATATGGGCATTAGCTGAAGTGATGTGAATACGTTCGGTTTACCTCAAATGTTACATTTACCTGAGTTAATGTTACCTCACATGAGGTAAAGTTACTTCACCTGAGGTAATGTTACTTTACCTCGGATAGAGGTAACTTTACCTCTACCTAAGGTAAAGTTACCTCACCTGAGGTAATGTTACCTCATCTGAGGTAAAGGTTACCTCTATCTTAGGTAACCTGAGGTTACCTCAGGTGGAGGTAAAGCTGGAGCTAGTACGTCATGGTAGAGGTGGGAGTTCACACACTTTACCACAAAGACAAAGATCCCCCGTGTAGCCTCTAACAGGCTGTTAGCGAGCAGCACCTACTAAGGCTACCGGCGCTGTGGCACACGAGGGGTGGGTGGCCAGCACCACGCCCGGCCGCCTTTGTCTCCCCAGTGGCGATGTTCACACACCGCTACACCGGGTGCTCATTTGAGGCTGAGTCGACCTAGGGGATGAGGTCCACGACCGGTTCAGATGATCGTCACCGCTGTTGGTGGTGGCCGTGAGCGGGAATGGAACTGGAGTCTCTGACCGGTCCTGGGCCTCTTCCCCTAGGTCGACTCAGCCTCAAATGAGTTCCTGGTGTAGCGGTGTGTAGTGAACATCGCCACTGGGGAGACAAAGGCGGCCGGGCGTGGTGCTGGCCACCCACCCCCTCGTGTGTCGTTCCGGCCTTCATAGGCGCCGCTCGCTCACAGCGCTTGACCCGACAGTCTGTTAAGGCCACACGGGGGATCTTAGTCTCGTATCCCTGTGACTCTGTCTCCATGTGACTCCATCTCCGTGACTGCGTCTGACCGTCGTCCGCGTCTCGTCCCTCCGTGTCTCTGCGCCTCAGCAGCAGCAGCAGCAGGAGATGGGCGACTTCCGAGACATCAGAGGCTTCTTCACCAAGGCCGAGTGGAGCGATCTGGCCGAGTGCGAGAAGCGGCGCTACAGGAACATCAAGCAGAACCACGCCGTCCTGCTGAACCTCGGTGGGTACGGCAGGCCGAGCCTCTTCGCAACTAAACTAATTCATCTTCTTGGTTCATCTTCTTGGTTCTTTCGGTAAAGTCACGTAGAATGGAAATAATAAAATAATAAAAATAAAACATAATACAATTATTTTATTATGTTTTATTTTTATTATTTTATTATTCTACGTGACTTTACCGAAAGAACCAAGAAGATGAATCCCTGCAGTCACGAAAGCTTTAAATCGAAATCTTCTCGGTTCTTTCGGTAAAGTCACGTAGAAGGGAAGTAATAAAATAATAAAAAATAAACAGAATAATTGTATTTTATGTTTTATTTTTATATTTTTATTATTGAATAAAACATAATAATTGTATTTTTTGTTTTATTTTGATTATTTCCCTTCTACATGACTAATAAAAATAAAACATAATAAAATAATTATCACTACGTTTCGGCTACAACACAAGCAGCCGTCCTCAGGTGAAGAAACAGAGCTGTCGGAAAGACAGCGTCCCAATGAACACCGCCAAGCTTGGCAGCGTATATTTAAGCTGGGTTAGAGGAGGAGGGCGCCTTGACAAAGGCATTTACATATCAAGAGGAATTTAGCAGTGTTATCAATATAACACTGGTCAACACACTTTTTCTGGCATAAGGTATTCCAAGGGGTTTAAGGTAATTTTGGGGTTCTGACTCCAAATCTGGCATCAGTTTTTGTCTATCACATCAGGTTTTTGAGATATGAAATATTGCATTTTCAATGAAAACTGCAGAAGAAAAATATTAAATAAATGTGGATATCTACATAAAATGATATCATAAACACACTATCCTAAAAATACAGCACCATATTTTAACACTAAAGCAGTCACTGACTCGCAACAACTTGCAATCATAAGTGACAGAGTAAATTTCGGGTAAAATCAATGAAAATGGAGTATGCCGATAGCATATAAGTATAACCCGTAAAAACAAAGTTTTTCACTATAAATCCTTTATATGCGTGGCAGCTAACTTAATATAAAGGATTTAAAAATATATTCGCCTGTGGAGGACGCGGGGATCGATCCCGCGACCTTTGGCATGGGAAGCGAGGGCGCTACCAACTGCGCTACTCCGCCACGGCCTGTGGAGGGGTTACGCTCTTGGCTCTTACACTCTGACGTTCAGCCAAAGCCATGAATTAGTTCTATCTGAATATATGTAAAATATTTTTTTTTTTGCCTAAAAAGTGTAACATTTTGGGAATTTTTTTTCACGAACAATAATTGTCTGGCACAACGAGTCTGTGTGGAAAATGTCAGCTCGATTGGATCACGGGAAGTGGGTTAAAAAACGACCGAAAGATTTGCACGGTCCTAAGCAAGCAAGCACGCAAGCACGCGAACTTAATATAAAGGATTTAAAAATGATGTGATAGAGCAAATCTGAGATCAGATTTGGAATCGGCACCCTGAAACTAGTCTTAAACAGCTGCAAAAGTCCAGGCCAGAAATCTTTTTTTTTGTTGACCAGTGTAATCAATGTGCTCAATATACTCTCCAATAAGCTGAGCTATTAACATTAAGTAACTGGGTATACGCTACACTATATAATGACTATCATATAGTGAACCGATAAAAAACTAAAATATAAAATACATCAATGTAATCAATATACTCAATATACTCTCCAATAAGCTGAGGTACTAACAGTAAGTTATACATTACACTTCTATGTCGCAAAAAAAAATAATATGCCTCCAGCTAAACTTTTTTCTTACATCACACGCATATACCCCGTACTATACACTGCCATAGACCAACCCAACATTGAATTATACACTGCGTTACTATACACTACCTTAGACTATGCATTGTAATATTAGACTATGTATTATTCTACACACCCTACTGTATACCACACTGCTGTATATTCACTATACAATTACGATACTATATATTACCTTATACATTATATTAGACATTACACTGTTATACTATTTATTATTATACAATCTGCTATACACCATCTCATTGACCGTCGCGTGAAAGGTACGAAGAGGAAGCAACGAAATATATCAATGGAGAGTGGTAGAAGGAGACTTGCAGCGGAGCAAAGACTCCATTTCGTGAGGAGAAAACGTGAACACAATCAGTTAAGATCCGAAATGGTTTATTACGTCCTTCCAATGATTGCTGAGCCAGAGTCCATCTTCTCAGTTGAAATTGTCTCTGTGTTTGTATATGTGGATGGCCTCATGAACGAATCTCTCATAGTAGCCGGATGGCTTGCAGAGAACCTCTGTCTTGGAGAAGTCAATGTCATGTGAGCCCACTGAATTATAACAATGGTCTGCCACGGCTGAGGTGTTCGTTCTACCGTGTTAGTAATTATAATGATGAGACCAAAACGTCGTAGCAGCGTGGCATGCATGGACCGCCATGGTGGCGAGATGTTAACTCCCTCTCATGGTCTACAGGAGGTCGTGGGTTCGATGGAGACCCTGACGATGCCTGTCATATATCTGGAGTCTGCGTGTGTCTCTCCCGGGTGAGATGTTAACTACCTCGCCTAGTCTACAGGAGGTCGTGGTTTCGATGCCGACGCTGACGAAGCCTGTCATATATCTGGAGTCTGCGTGTGTCTCTCCCCGGTGAGATGTGAATTCCCTTTCCTGGTCTACAGGAGGTCGTGTGTTCGATCCTGACCCTGACGCCTGCTGTGTATTTGGAGTTTGCATGTTCACTCTCCCCGTGGTCGCGATGGTTTTTCTCCTGGTCCTCCGGGTTTTCGCTCCACATGTAGAATCAACATCACGCGTTTAACGTATTTGATAATATTTAATCATTGTCTTTGAAACTGATTGGTCTACCCCAGAGACAGCCTTCTTCATGGCCTAGTCTCACCAGTGTCAGACCAGAGAACAACACCAAAAGGCGACCGGTACAAAGACAATGCAGTGTCAAGAGCATCTATAGCTCGGGGTGAGCAGCTATATCATGGGACCTTTTTGCCAGAATCAAAGTATGAAAAATAAGAATCGGTTTACCCTTTCTGGCAATAAAACAGGAGGCGATAATATGTTCAAACACCAGATAGATTATTCCTTTGCAAGGAATCAAGTTACTGCATTAACCACGCGTACTTGTGGTGATCACGCAAACAAACACGCTCTGATAATAATCACATCGTCAGGACTGTGTTACGAGGACCCGGTGTGTTGCTATGCTGCACCGGTGTACCGCCAATACGTACAAATAACAATGACCGACTGCCTTCTTGCGCAGGGATGAACCCGGCCCAGCCCGAGTTCATGCGCGCACGTGGCAAGCGCAGGGTGAGGGGGAATGGAGCGGAGTGCGGGCGGTCGAGCGACTCCGACGAGGAGTGGACGGGGAGGAGGAAGAGGAAGGAGGTGGCGATGCACGGAGGACGAAGAGGTGGAGGCAAACGTAAAAGGGCGCTTGCAGACCGTGCAGAGACCCCCTGTAGACTCACACAGAGATCCCCTGTAGACTCACACAGAGACCCCCTGTAGACTCACGCAGAGACCCCTGTAGACTCACACAGACAACCCCTGGAGACTGACGCAGAGACCCTCTGTAGATTCACGCAGAGACCCTCTGTAGACTCACACAGAGACCCCTGTAGACTCACTCAGAGACACCCTGTAGACTCACGCAGAGACCCCCTGTAGACTCACACAGAAACCCCTGTAGACTCGCACAGAGACCCCCTGTAGACTCACGCAGAGACCCCCTGTAGACTCACGCAGAGACCCCCTGTAGACTCGCACGGAGACCCCCTGTAGATTTCGATTTAAAGCTTTCGTGACTGCAGGGATTCATCTTCTTGGTTCTTTCGGTAAAGTCACGTAGAAGGGAAGTAATAAAATAATAAAAATAAAACATAATAAAATAAAATAATTCTCACGACGTTTCGGCTACAACGCAAGCAGCCGTCTTCAGGTGAAGAATGAGACACTGCCAAGCTAGGAGCTTATATATAATTCGTTTCGCATTAGAAGAAGTTACAGCAGCAGATGTTAGTGTAAATGCGTTTGGTATTACCTTAGAGTCGCGGCATCTCTTCAGAAAGGTGAGAGACTCGATTAGCTGAGCCTTCTTATCACGGAGCTTGTTGAAGGATCTCAAAGTTATGTGGAAACCCTCCCCGTAGAGGCGGTTAAATTTCGATTTAAAGCTTTCGTGACTGCTGGGTTTCATCTTCTTGGTTCTTTCGGTAAAGTCACATAGAAGGGAAGTAATAAAATCATAAAAATAAAACATAATAAAATAAAATAATTCTCACGACGTTTCGGCTGCGTGCGTGCGTGTGTTCACGTGTGTTCACGTGTGATCACGTGTGTGCATGTGTTCACGTGTGTGCGTGTGCTCACGCAGGAGGAGGCAAGGGGGCTGCTTCACGCTGGGCCACCGTGGGAGAGTCGCACGCGAGGGCAGCTCCCAGCAAGCGCAAGGTCTCTGTGCACAGCGCACGGCACTCCTCTCGTTACAGCTGCTGCTGCTGCTGTTGTCTTTAGTTTGTTGTCCTTCCGCCGCACCTCCCATTAGCGAGGTTGGCTACGTACGGTTACAAAGAAATTCAACATACATACAGTGAGGGAAAAAAGTATTTGATCTCCTGCTGATTTTGTACGTTTGCCCACTGACAAATAAATGATCAGTGTATAATTTTAATGGTAGGTTTATTTGAACAGTGAGAGACAGAATAACAACAACAAAATCCAGAAAAACGCATGTAAATTTTTTTATAAATTGATTTGCATTTTAATGAGGGAAATAAGTATTTGACCCCTCTGCAAAACATGACAGTACTTGGTGGCAAAACCCTTGTTGGCAATCACAGAGGTCAGACGTTTCTTGTAGTTGGCCACCAGGTTTGCACACATCTCAGGAGGGATTTTGTCCCACTCCTCTTTGCAGATCTTCTCCAAGTCATTAAGGTTTCGAGGCTGACGTTTGGCAACTCGAACCTTCAGCTCCCTCCATAGATTTTCTATGGGATTAAGGTCTGGAGACTGGCTAGGCCACTCCAGGACCTTAATGTGCTTCTTCTTGAGCCACTCCTTTGTTGCCTTGGCTGTGTGTTTTGGGTCATTGTCATGCTAGAATACCCATCCACGACCCATTTTCAATGCGCTGGCTGAGGGAAGGAGGTTCTCACCCAAGATTTGACGGTACATGGCCCCGTCCATCGTCCCTTTGATGCGGTGAAGTTGTCCTGTCCCCTTATCAGAAAAACAACCCCAAAGCATAATGTTTCCACCTCCATGTTTGACGGTGGGGATGGTGTTCTTGGGGTCATAGGCAGCATTCCTCCTCCTCCAAACAGGGCGAGTTGAGTTGATGCCAAAGAGCTCCATTTTGGTCTCATCTGACCACAACACTTTCACCCAGTTGTCCTCTGAATCATTCAGATGTTCATTGGCAAACTTCAGACGGGCATGTATATGTGCTTTCTTGAGCAGGAGGACCTTGCGGGCGCTACAGGATTTCAGTCCTTCACAGCGTAGTGTGTTACCAACTGTTTTCTTGGTGACTATGGTCCCAGCTGCCTTGAGATCATTGACAAGATCCTCCCGTGTAGTTCTGGGCTGATTCCTCACCGTTCTCATGATCATTGCAACTCCACGAGGTGACATCTTGCATGGAGCCCCAGGCCGAGGGAGTATGACAGTTCTTTTGTGTTTCTTCCATTTGCGAATAATCACACCAATTGTTGTCACGTTCTCACCAAGCTGCTTGGCAATGGCCTTGTAGCCCATTCCAGTCTTGTGTAGGTCTACAATCTTGTCCCTGACATCCTTGGAGAGCTCTTTGGTCTTGGCCATGGTGGAGAGTTTGGAATCTAATTGATTGTTTCTGTGAACAGGTGTCTTTTATACAGGTAACAAGCTGAGATTAGGAGCACTCCCTTTAAGAGTGTGCTCCTAATCTCAGCTCGTTACCTGTATAAAAGACACCTGGGAGCCAGAAATCTTTATGATTGAGAGGGGGTCAAATACGTATTTCCCTCATTAAAATGCAATTCACTTGATAACATTTTGACATGCGTTTTTTTTGGATTTTGTTGTTGTTATTCTGTCTCTCACTGTTCAAATAAACCTACCGTTCAAATTATAGACTGATCACTTCTTTGTCAGTGGGCAAACGTACAAAATCAGCAGGGGATCAAATACTTTTTTCCCTTACTGTATACTGTACTAGAGGAATCCGATGAGGTGTCAGGGTCGAGATCGAACCCGCGACTTCCTACGTACCAGGCGAGGGAGTTAACATCTCCTAGCCACCGCTGGTCACCGCACAAACTTTGCCCCCCTCACCCCACCACCCCCTCCGCTCAGACTAAAGCGGAAGCCCTGGAGTACGTGTGGAGCATCTTGCAGGGCGTGGAGGAGGAGCAGCAGCAGCAGGAGGAGGAGTCCAGGGGATTTGAGCTGAGGGAGGTGCACAAGGCCAGGATGGCGATGTTCAGGCTGGAGCGCAGAGCTACCGCCTGCAAAGAGGCCCTGAGGGTGGCGCTCCAGAGGATACATGGAGGTGCGTAGCCTGCAGCGGTGATTTATATTCACATCGCAACTCCACGCTCCCCTCTATTCTCACTGGAACTCCACGCTCCCCTCTATTCTCACCGGAACTCCACACTCCCCTCTATTCTCACCAGAACTCCACACTCCCCTCTATTCCCACCAGAACTCCACACTCCCCTCTATTCTCACCAGAACTCCACACTCCCCTCTATTCCCACCAGAACTCCACCCTCCCCTCTATTCTCACCGGAACTCCACACTCTCCTCTATTCCCACCAGAACTCCACGCTCCCCTCTATTCTCACCGGAACTCCACACTCCCCTCTATTCCCACTGGAACTCCACGCTCCCCTCTATTCTCACCGGAACTCCACACTCCCCTCTATTCCCACCAGAACTCCACACTCCCCTCTATTCTCACCAGAACTCCACACTCCCCTCTATTCCCACCGGAACTCCACACTCCCCTCTATTCCCACCGGAACTCCACACTCCCCTCTATTCCCATCGGAACTCCACAATCCCCTTTATTCCCACCGGAACTCCACACTCCCCTCTCTTCCCACCAGAACTCCACACTCCCCTCTATTCTCACCGGAACTCCACACTCCCCTCTATTCTCACCGGAACTCCACACTCCCCTCTATTCTCACCAGAACTCCACACTCCCCTCTATTCCCACCAGAACTCCACACTCCCCTCTATTCTCACCAGAACTCCACACTCCCCTCTATTCCCACCAGAACTCCACCCTCCCCTCTATTCTCACCGGAACTCCACACTCTCCTCTATTCCCACCAGAACTCCACGCTCCCCTCTATTCTCACCGGAACTCCACACTCCCCTCTATTCCCACTGGAACTCCACGCTCGCCTCTATTCTCACCGGAACTCCACACTCCCCTCTATTCCCACCAGAACTCCACACTCCCTCTATTCTCACCAGAACTCCACACTCCCCTCTATTCCCACCGGAACTCCACACTCCCCTCTATTCCCACCGGAACTCCACACTCCCCTCTATTCCCATCGGAACTCCACAATCCCCTTTATTCCCACCGGAACTCCACACTCCCCTCTCTTCCCACCAGAACTCCACACTCCCCTCTATTCTCACCGGAACTCCACACTCCCCTCTATTCCCACCGGAACTCCACACTCCCCTCTATTCTCACCGGAACTCCACACTCCCCTCTATTCCCACCGGAACTCCACACTCCCCTCTATTCTCACCAGAACTCCACACTCCCCTCTATTCTCACCGGAACTCCACACTCCCCTCTATTCCCACCGGAACTCCACACTCCCCTCTATTCTCACCGGAACTCCACACTCCCCTCTATTCCCACCGGAACTCCACACTCCCCTCTATTCTCACCGGAACTCCACACTCCCCTCTATTCCCACCGGAACTCCACACTCCCCTTTATTCCCACCGGAACTCCACACTCCCCTCTATTCTCACCAGAAACTCCACGCTCCCTTCTATTCCCACCGGAACTCCGCACTCCCCTCTATTCTCATCGGAACTCCACACTCCCCTCTATTCTCACCAGAACTCCACACTCCCCTCTATTCTCACCGGAACTCCACACTCCCCTCTATTCTCATCTGAACTCCACACTCCCCTCTATTCTCACCAGAACTCCACACTCCCCTCTATTCCAACCGGAACTCCACACTTCCCTCTATTCTCACCGAAACTCCACACTCCCCTCTATTCCCACCAGAACTCCACACTCCCCTCTATTCCCACCGGAACTCCACACTCCCCTCTATTTCCACCAGAACTCCACACTCCCCTCTATTCCCACCGGAACTCCACACTTCCCTCTATTCCCACCGGAACTCCACACTCCCCTCTATACTCACCGGAACTCCACACTCCCCTCTATTCTCACCGGAATCCCACACTCCCCTCTATTCTCACCAGAACTCCACACTCCCCTCTATTCTCACCAGAACTCCACGCTCCCCTCTATTCTCACCGGAACTCCACACTCCCCTCTATTCTCACCAGAACTCCACACTCCCCTCTATTCTCACCAGAACTCCACGCTCCCTTCTATTCTCACCGGAATTCTACACTCCCCTCTATTCCCACCAGAACTCCACACTCCCCTCTATTCTCACCAGAACTCCACACTCCCCTCTATTCTCACCGGAACTCCACACTCCCCTCTATTCTCACCAGAACTCCACGCTCCCCTCTATTCTCACCGGAATTCTACACTCCCCTCTATTCTCACCAGAACTCCACACTCCCCTCTATTCTCACCGGAACTCCACACTCCCCTCTATTCCCACCGGAACTCCACACTCCTCTCTATTCCCACCGGAACTCCACACTCCCCTCTATTCTCACCAGAACTCCACACTCCCCTCTATTCTCACCAGAACTCCACACTCCCCTCTATTCTCACCGGAACTCCACACTCCCCTCTATTCCCACCAACATTCCACACTCCCCTCTATTCTCACCGGAACTCCAAACTCCCCTCTATTCCCACCGGAACTCCACGCTCCCCTCTATTCCCACCGGAACTCCGCACTCCCCTCTATTCTCATCGGAACTCCACACTCCCCTCTATTCTCACCAGAACTCCACACTCCCCTCTATTCCAACCGGAACTCCACACTCCCCTCTATTCTCACCGAAACTCCACACTCCCCTCTATTCCCACCAGAACTCCACACTCCCCTCTATTCCCACCGGAACTCCACACTCCCCTCTATTTCCACCAGAACTCCACACTCCCCTCTATTTCCACCAGAACTCCACACTTCCCTCTAATCCCACCGGAACTCCACACTCCCCTCTATACTCACCGGAACTCCACACTCCCCTCTATACTCACCGGAACTCCACACTCCCCTCTATTTCCACCAGAACTCCACACTTCCCTCTAATCCCACCGGAACTCCACACTCCCCTCTATTCTCACCGGAATTCCACACTCCCCTCTATTCTCACCAGAACTCCACACTCCCCTCTATTCTCACCAGAACTCCACGCTCCCCTCTATTCTCACCGGAACTCCACACTCCCCTCTATTCTCACCAGAACTCCACACTCCCCTTTATTCTCACCAGAACTCCACGCTCCCCTCTATTCTCACCGGAATTCTACACTCCCCTCTATTCCCACCAGAACTCCACACTCCCCTCTATTCTCACCAGAACTCCACACTCCCCTCTATTCTCACCGGAACTCCACACTCTCCTCTATTCTCACCAGAACTCCACACTGCCCTCTATTCTCACCAGAACTCCACGCTCCCCTCTATTCTCACCGGAATTCTACACTCCCCTCTATTCCCACCAGAACTCCACACTCCCCTCTATTCTCACCAGAACTCCACACTCCCCTCTATTCTCACCGGAACTCCACACTCCCCTCTATTCTCACCGGAACTCCACACTCCTCTCTATTCCCATCGGAACTCCACACTCCCCTCTATTCTCACCAGAACTCCACACTCCCCTCTATTCTCACCAGAACTCCACACTCCCCTCTATTCTCACCGGAACTCCACACTCCCCTCTATTCCCACCAAACTCCACACTCCCCTCTATTCTCACCGGAACTCCACACTCCCCTCTATTCCCACCCGAACTCCACACTCCCCTCTATTCTCATCGGAACTCCACACTCCCCTCTATTCCCACCGGAACTCCACACTCCCCTCTATTCCCACCGGAACTCCACACTCCCTCTATTCCCACCGGAACTCCACACTCCCCTCTATTCTCACCAGAACTCCACGCTCCCTCTATTCCCACGGAACTCCGCACTCCCTCTATTCTCATCGGAACTCCACACTCCCCTCTATTCTCACCAGAACTCCACACTCCCCTCTATTCTCACGGAACTCCACACTCCCCCTCTATTCTCATCGGAACTCCACACTCCCCTCTATTCTCACCAGAACTCCACACTCCCCTCTATTCTCACCGGAACTCCACACTCCCCTCTATTCTCACCAGAACTCCACACTCCTCTATTCTCACCAGAACTCCACACTCCCCTCTATTCTCATCGGAACTCCACACTCCCCTCTATTCTCACCAGAACTCCACACTCCCTCTATTCTCACCGGAACTCCACACTCCCCTCTATTCCCACCGGAACTCCCACACTCCCCTCTATTCCACCGGAACTCCACACTCCCCTCTATTCTCACCGGAACTCCACACTCCCCTCTATTCCCACCGGAACTCCACACTTCCCCTCTATTCTCACCAGAACTCCACGCTCCCCTCTATTCCCACCGGAACTCCGCACTCCCCTCTATTCTCATCGGAACTCCACACTCCCCTCTATTCTCACCAGAACTCCACACTCCCCTCTATTCTCATCGGAACTCCACACTCCCCTCTATTCTCACCAGAACTCCACACTCCCCTCTATTCTCACCGGAACTCCACACTCCCCTCTATTCCCACCGGAACTCCACACTCCCTCTATTCCCACCGGAACTCCACACTCCCCTCTATTCTCACCAGAACTCCACGCTCCCCTCTATTCTCACCAGAACTCCACACTCCCCTCTATTCTCACCAGAACTCCACACTCCCCTCTATTCTCATTGGAACTCCACACTCCCCCTCTATTCTCACCAGAACTCCACACTCCCCTCTATTCTCACCAGAACTCCACACTCCCCTCTATTCTCACCGGACCCTCCACACTCCCCTCTATTCTCACCGGAACTCCACTCTCCCCTCTATTCTCACAGGAACTCCACTCTCCCCTCTATTCTCACCGGGAACTCCACACTCCCCTCTATTCTCACCAGAACTCCACACTCCCTCTATTCTCACCGGAACTCCACTCTCCCCTCTATTCTCACCCGGAACTCCATGCTCCCCTCTATTCTCACCGGAACTCCCCAATCTTCTGTAGTGCTGATGGAAGTCGCCACTGCTGTTGATGCTACTGCTACATGTGCTCCTGTCAGTGCTGCTGCTGGTACTGATGCAGCCTATTAACTAAACGATGTTTATTTTACCAGGGTAAGCCGCACTGAGCTGTGTAGCTGTTTTTCACAAGCGACCTGGCTATCACAAATGAGAGCTCAACGAAGTGACTTATCATCATCATTATCATTACGTGGACATTTATAGCAGCCAAATACTCTCAACGCGTGACGTTTATTCTAAACGTCGAGGGGAAAAACCGGAGGACCCGGAGAAAATCCACGCAACCACGGGGAGGTATTCGCCATGAAAGTTTGCACACACAAGGAATTTACTATGGCCGGAAGGTGCATACATTCAACACGTAGGAATAAGTGGTATACAGTCTAACTATACTAAAATTACAAAGTCTAACTAATACTAAGGGGCTAAAGTATGTAAAATTGTGAATAAGCGTACAATATAAAATGTAAACTAGCCATAATATACAATCTAAAATACAAAAGGGTAATATGTTGTAAACTATACAGTCGGGATGGAACCCACGACCTCCTGTAGACCACGAGAGGTAGTCAACATCTCGCCGTGTTTGCCTGCAGGCTCCTCCGTGCCGCGGCCTCCGCACAGGCTGTGGCGGTGTCGCGCAGCGCTCGCTCTCGCAACGGCCTGCGCCCGCGCGAGAGGCAAGTCTACACAGAGGTGGAGGAGCCCCAGGACGACGACTTCTTCTGTGAGACCCCCTGCTCCCTCTCACTCTCTCTCACTTTCTCACTCTCTCTCTCACACTGTCACTTTCTCACACTCTCTCTCACACTGTCACTTTCTCACTCTCTCTCTCACCTGTCACTTTCACACTCTCACTCTCTCTCTCACTTTCTCACACTCTCACTCACACTGTCACTTTCTCACACATTCTCTCACACCGTCACTTTCTCACTCTCTCTCACACACTGTCACTTTCTCAAACTCTCTCTCACACCGTCACTTTCTCACTCTCTCTCACACACTGTCACTTTCTCACACTCTCTCTCACACTGTCACTATCTCACTCTCTCTCTCACACTGTCACTTTCTCACACTCTCTCTCACACTGTCACTTTCTCACAATGTCAGTTTATCACACTCTCACCTATCTATCTCTATTGCTCCCGCGCTCTCACTCGATACGTTTCCACCTGCCTCCCTCTCACACTCTCCCCCTTTCCTTCCCTCTCACACGCTCCCTTTCTCGTACTCTCACTTACCTCTCTCTCTTTTGCTCCCTCACTCAGGGATGCAGGGAGGGAGCAGGGAGGGTGACAGGGTTTACATCTCCGATGAGCGAGCTAAATAATCTTCTTGGTTCTTTCGGTAAAGTCACGTAGAAAACGTGACTTTACCAAAAGAACCAAGAAGATGAATCCCTGCAGTCACGAAAGCTTTAAATCGAAATTTGACCTAAAGAAGTTCACAATGCAGAGAGGGAGGGAGGGAGGCATCTGTCTGGAGCGCTCCTCACCCTCTCACTCTCTCACAGTGCCACTGCTGCTGCTGCTGTTGCTACTGCGGTTCGCCCTCCTCCCACTGCTGCTGCTGTGGCTCTCAGTTCTGCGAGCTGTGCAGGGATTTCTACCTGGCGGAGTGCTCCGTGCACGGCCCGCCAGAGTTCATCGCGGACGCGGCCGTTGGCCCCGGGAGTGGCCAACAGGGCCCGGCTCAGCCTGCCCCAGGGCCTCACCGTCGGCGCCCTCCTCCATCGCCGGCGCCGGCCTCGGGGTGTGGAGCAACAGGAAGAAGCTGCCCAAGGGGGTGATGTTGGGCCCTACCAGGGAGAGGTGTCTGAGGAGAACCCCGTGAGCGAGTACTGCTGGCTGGTGAGCTGCTGCTGCTACTGCTGCAGCCTCCTCCTATTCCTACATCATCATCGTGTGTGTGGAGAGGAGGCTCGTGAAGGCGATGCAGAGAAACCCATAGCCTCACACAGTCACCCACAGACTTACACAGAGATCTAGAGACTGGCACAGAGAGACCCAGAGGACTCACAGAGACCCATAGACTCACACAGAGACCCATAGACTCGCACAGAAACCCATAGACTCACACAGAGACCCATAGACTCGCACAGAGACCCATAGACTCGCACAGAGACCTATAGACTCGCACAGAGACCCATAGATTCACACAGAGACCATAGACTCGCACAGAGACCCATAGCCTCACACAGTCACCCACAGACTCACACAGAGACCCAGAGACTGGCACAGAGAGACCCAGAGACTTTGCACAGAGACCCAGAGACTCGCATAGAGAGACCCACAGACTTGCACAGAGACCTAGAGACTTGAACAGAGACCCAGAGACTCACAGTGGGACACACAGACTCACACAGAGACCCAGAGACTCACACAGAGAGACCCAGATACTCCACACAGATGCTCAGAGAATCGCACAGAGAGATCCACAGTCTCACACATAGACCCCAGAGACTCGCACAGAGACCAAGAGAATCGCACAGAGACCCACAGTCTCACACAGAGACCCAGAGTCGCACAGATACCCTAGAGACTCGCACAGAGACCCATAGACTCGTACAGAGACCTAGAGACTCACCCAAGACCCCAGAATCACAGAGAGACCCAAAAATTAACGTAATTATTTGAACTTGTAACACACAGCAAAGACGGTGGTCACCGCATGGCGCGGCGCTTACAGATGCACTTCTGCGGCCGTCTGGAAGGTTCTTCCTTCCAATGTTAGGAAGCCACTGGGAGCTTAGCACTTTAAAATCTTGTAGATTGAAAATGCATTTCTTTAGAACTGCTTTTAGTGTTTAGTTTGTTGTCCTTCCCCCGCACCTCCGATCAGCACGGTTGGCTACGTGCGGTACGAAAGAAGTTCAACTTACAGTCCAACTGACATTAATTATCCGTGGATCTGCTCGTGTGCGTGTGTGTTTCAGATTTACAAAAACAAAAAGGATTGTGAATATGTTGATGCTCAGGATGAATCTAAATCAAACTGGATGAGGTGATTATTGTCTGAAGGACCACTACACAGAGATCAGAACCACTACACACAGAGACCAGAACCACCACACACAGAGACCAGAACCACTACACACAGAGACCAGAACCACTACACACAGAGACCAGAACCACTACACACAGACCAGAACCACTACACACAGAGACCAGAACCACTACACACAGAGACAAGAACCACTTCACACAGAGACCAGAACCACTACACACAGAGACCAGAACCACTACACACAGAAACCAGAATCACTACACCCAGAGACCAGAACCACCACACACAGAGACAAGAACCAGCACACACAGACCAGAACCACTACACACAGAGACCAGAAACACCACACACAGAGACCAGAACCACTACACACAGAGACCAGAACCAGCACACACAGAGACCAGAACCACTACACACAGACAAGAACCAGCACACACAGAGACCAGAACCACTACACACAGAGACCAGAACCACCACACAGAGACCAGAACCACCACACACAGAAACCAGAACCACCACACACAGAGACCAGAACCACCACACACAGAGACAAGAACCACTACACACAGAGACCAGACCCACTACACACAGAGACCAACCCTGGGCCTCCCCTTGGTCGACTCGGCATCAAATGAGCACCCGGTACGGAGCGTGGTTCCAGCCACACCACCCCCACGTAGCGCCCAGTGCCGGCCCTTAATAGGCGCTCGCTAACGGCGCCCACCCCGCCCCCGCGTCTGCCCGCGCAGGTTCGTCAACTGCGCGAGGAATGAGCAGGAGCAGAACCTGGTGGCCTTCCAGCACAGGGGGCAGATTTACTACCGCACGTTCCGTGCCGTGGGGCCCGGCTCTGAGCTGCTGGTCTGGTACGGCGAGGAGTTCGCCCAGGAGCTGGGCATCGCCTGCGAGGCCGGGCCCTCGCGACGCCGCAGCAGCAGCAGCAACGAGATGGCTCCCAGGGCCACCGCCAGAGACCTGCAGCCCGTGCAGCCTCCACCAAGCGAGGAACACCGTGAGCACCGCTCACCAGAGACTCACCACTGCTCACCAGACTATAGCCACCACTCACCAGAGATGATAGCCACCACTCACGAGAGACGATAGCCACCACTCACCAGAGATGATAGCCACCACTCACCAGAGATGATAGCCACCACGCACCAGAAATGATAGCCACCACTCACCAGAGATGGCAGCCACCACTTACGAGAGACGATAGCCACTACTCACCAGAGACGATAGCCACCACTCAGTAGAGATGATAGCTACCACTCACCAGAGATGATAGCCACATCTCACCAGAGATGTGGATGTAGCTACCACTCACCAGAGATGATAGCCACCACTCACTAGAGATGATAGCCACCACTCACCAGAGATGACAGCCACCACTCACCAGAGATGATAGGCACCAGCCACACTGATAAGGTGGAAGTGAGTAACTGGTGTGGTGTGTAGTAGTAAACATCGCCACTGGGGAGACAAAGGCGGCTATGTGTGGTGCTGGCCACCCTCCCACTCGTGTGCCGTGTTGGCTTTCATTGGTGCCCATAACAGCACTTGTCCCAAAAGTATATACAGGCTATATGGGGGTTCTTTGTCTTTGTGTGTATATATAATGGAGCCCACT